CATGCGTCCTTGGGATGCCAGGAGTGGATGGGTGGTCCCCAGGGCAGGAGCGTTTTGGCTCCCAGAACCTGGGAATGAGGCAAAAACGTCGTCCTCCAGCCACACGTGGCTCTGCACGTCCTTGGCTGCTCCTTTGCTCCCCTCGATGCCAAAAGCGTTGCTGGGAGAAACACGTGGCCTTGTTTGGGAGTCACCTCTTCAATTATGTTTAATTAGCACCGCTGTCAAGGTCAGGGTGGTTTCTGCTCGATTTAATTACTGCCCCTGCAGCTGGCCAAGGCCAAGGCCAGAGGTGCTGGGAGCACGACGGGAGCAGCACGTTCCTCCCGCGCATTCCCAGAGAGGGACAGGGAGCAGGCGAGCGGCTCCCTCACCCCTCGGAAACACTTCAAGATGGAAATGCAAAGACTGGACATTAACTGGCTGGGATGCAGGGAGAAGTGGGAAGATCCCCCAGCCTCTTCCCGAGAGCAGCGGCACCATCAAGCCCTTGCTCCAAGCACCGTGAATTTGACTTCGTCCTTCCTGGCCCAGCCCAGGGCCGTTGCTCCCAGCGCAAGGGCTGTTTACTATTAAATTGTTTTGAATTTACAATAAACCTGATGGTACCTAAATAATACATCTGAAGAAGAAGAACAACAAGAAGAAAAAAGCCAATTATCTGATGCTCAGCAATGATCCTAAAACAGATGTTTGAGTGCATGAAATTATGTTGTGAGGTTTGAAATTGCAGATACAATTACAACCTTCATTTTTATTGCTGCTCATGAGTGCTAAATGCAACCAGATCTACATCTGAAACTCGGTTATTACCGTTTTAGTTCATCTCTACCAAGCCAAGACTGACTTGCAAAATTGTCACACTGGTAATTACTCTCCTCGGCTGACGAGCGCAGCGAAACGAGCAGAGCCGGTGCTAGAAGCTGTTCAACGTGTTCATCCCAGAGCAGCCACGTGGATACCTGGCTGGGCTGCCAGGAGCAAAGGGATGTCAGTAAAACAGAGCAAGGAGGAAGAAAAAAAGGAAGAAAGAAAGGAAAAAAAGGAAGAAAAAAATCCAACAGTTCCCTCCGTGCCCACAACCCACGGAGAGCTGCTCCCCGAGACACCCATTAAAAGCAGTGTTAGATAAATAAGCAGCAAGTCCTCGGGCTCCTCAGAGTTGCTTTTACAGGCACGTGAAGGGCGGAGGAGGAGGCCGGGCCTGGGCTCGCTCGCGCAGCGGCCTCCTCCTCACTCGGCCTCACAGGACGAGTCGCTCCCCGCGGCAGCGCTGGGCCGCACCGGAGCCTTCAACAACTACTTGCTCCCTTCCCCGATCTCCTCACGTTGGTGCTCCCTTTGCCACCGTGCTGGTCCACAGGGAAAAGCTGCAGGCCCTGCAGAAGGGTCGTGTTACCAAGGGACACGGGGCCGGGATGAGCCAGGAGGAGCGCTGGGGAGGACACAGAAACACGGAGAAAACACCAAGGGCCCTCGGCAATCCACGCGCGACCGAGGCGGTGCTGTCCTCTTGTGGCCTGCTTCCCTCATGGCGCTTTATTCCACCCTGCTCGCTGCTGCTCGGACTTCTGCATCCCTCCTCTTGCCAGGTCCCTTTGGAAAGCCGGGGCCACCGGGGCCCTGCTCCGGGCAGTGCGCGGGGCCAGTCCGGCCCCAGCACCCGAAGCCTTTGCCCCTTTGCCCCTGAGCGTGCAGCCCTGCACAGGCAGAGCGGGGTGAGCGCGGCCCCTGCCCTGCGCCGGGCACCCCTGATGCCCCAGCAAGATCTTGTGGGGGAGCCTTTTCCCTGCCGATGACAAACGCAATTTCCTAAGTGTCCCAAACCACCCAGATCGGTTACTGGGTTCAGCCAAAGCAGAAGGACTGGAAATAGTTAAACGTTCTTGTTTTAAACGTCTCCCACGGCCGTGCTCTCCTTAGGGACCCGCTGTGCTCCCTCCAACCACCCCCCGCCACCAAGGAAGCCACCGACCTTACGTGGATTGTTTATTGATTCCAACATATTAATAGATTGGATAATAAACAGTACTTTTAAACATTCTCTTAACCAAAAATATAACAAATATTTACAATCACTCAGTAAAAATACAAAAAGCATACAGAGGCACTGTCTTTCTAAAAGACATAAGTGTAAGAGGTATCAAAAAATAGGAGACAAACATTGCTTGTTACAGAATACTTTACAATCACTGACTTGTGCAGTACAATTGCTATTGAAATATCATTACATCTGTGCAGTTTTGCCAATATGCTCACACATTTAGAACTTAATTAATACCAAGCTCAACTGCATTCCAGGGATATCAAAAATAAACATAAAACCATAAAAAGCACAACAGAAGCAGAAGCGGGACAGGGAATCCCAGGGGGATTTCCTTCTGTACAAGCTCTAAAATATAATGTGTGAAGCTTTTCTAAAGAGAGAGTATCCCTTTTTCCTTCTGTTTTTTGTGGGGAAGGCTGTGGTAAGTTTATCTTAAAAAACAAACCCTAATGTTTTATAGGAACTTGCACGGCTTGGGCGCTGAGGAGGACACGTCCTGGTCCGGCTGCGTCTGCGCAGCGGCTCCCAGCCCTCTCGTTCGTGCACATCTCAAAGGGAACGCGCTGCCAGCGCCTGCAGAAATTCCCTTTTCATTACACTGTACACATGGGAGGTGAGAGCACAGCTCCAGCTATCCAACATGCCATTTTCTGCTGAGCTCCCAGACCTGCAGCACCGTTTGGGAACTACTCGGAGGATTTCAACAGCACGCCCAGATACTTCATGGTTGAAGCATAAGGAGTTGCAATTAATCTCAACAGACCCACAATAAGTGATGAGCAAGTGAAGAGCCAAGGAGCTAGTTTGGGTCCAACAGCAGCAGAACATCCCACTGGGGACTTCCCTCTCCATCAGGAGGCAATAAGGGAAGGGGAGGAAGGAGCCAGCGCTGGCAGCGATTAAGGACATGGCTTCAACAGAGCGGTGTAGAGCAAGGACTAACCACAGTCTTAGTTCCCTTTTAACCACTGAAAAAAGGGATACTGTCTCTTCAAATACATACCAGACAGTCCTGGCACCGACCAGCTCCATCCCCTCTGCTGTTGATCGCGAGGCTGAAGGAAACTAAACGGTTCAGTATCTGAGGCCGTGGCAAGGTTACGATTTGATCTACCTGGCACAAAACACATGATTTTGTGAGGAAACATTACGCTTCGAAGCTAAGCAGCAGCTCGCCGTGGGATTGCTAGAGCTTCCAATTTACATCCCACAAAATATCAGTTTAACACTTATAATATCGACATTACCTATGCTGAAAATAATTGCTCTGCCCTGCATTGTTTTGACACTTATATTAATCTTTACTCGTTAAGGCCTGTGCAAGTTCATTATATTCATTAAGGCCTCAAGAAAGCAAAACACATCAATTATGAAATATCTCAACTGCTTTTTAATATGATTTTTAGCCATTTGCTCCTCAGGTGCTCGTGCCAAAAATTGACACAGGCAACTAATTGACTACGAGTTCGGCAGCCCATGCTCAGCGTCGCGGCTGGTTTAGGACTTGGTTGCTCGAGCGTCGCTGTAGGGTGGGATCGAACCCGGCCCAGGCACGGCCCAACCGCGGGCTCGGTCACCACATCTGCCTGCTGGCATCGTCCCCGAGCCGATACGGGCACAGCACATCAAAGGCTTGGGGGTGTTTTTGGTACTTGTGGCGTTTGCAGAAACTGCTGCATTCACCCTGCGCCCCACGCGCACACACAGAACAAAAAGATCTTAAAGCTCTTCACAACTGAGGATGTAGAAATGATTTTTGAGGCACTGTAAAAATGACAAACATCTTTCTAGCTTAGGCTGTAAACATCACAACGAAGATTTACAATTAAATGTTTAAATACATATTCACACATTCATGTCCAATTTTAACACTAGATGGGGCATCATGTGCTAGAAGAAAGAAAGAAAGCGCAGGTATTTCCAGTTCTACCCCTTCGCCTCTGGTTGACTAGGTAAAAATCAAATGAGCAGTTTATGAAAGTATGAAACTATCCCATGTTAATACTGACTCCAAGGCAAAGCTTTGATTGACATCAGCAACACCAGGATTTTCGCTTAAGATTTAAAACTAAAATGGCTTGAGACCAGCTGTCCTCTCCAGATGAGCACAACTCATGTGGGGACTCAGTCACACACTATTACACGTGTATATGAGTATTTTGTCATTTCAGATTCGGAAGTGTTCCTGTGCAAAAGAGATGATGGCTTTTTTTTTTTTTTTTTTTAAAGCTAACCTTTGCACCTAAATCCTGGGTTAGCTCTGGGAAAAGGCTGGATTACAGGGGATGATCATAAAGCCCACGCCACACACTTCACTTTGGGTTTCTAGCGACGTGCTTTGTGTGCTGCGGGGAGAACTGAAGCTCTTCTGAGCTGGCTCCCAACTTCCCTGCTTTGGCAGCCCAGAGTAGCCGACGTGGCCCAGATCGCATCCAAGATCACGGTGAAGACTTGGGGGCTTTGGGAATGGCCTTGGAAGAGAAGACCATGAGGCTCCTGCTCCCAATACAGTTGTCCTGGGCAAGGCTTCTTCCTCTATTTAGTGCTAACGCGCCCAAAACGCCCTGAACTCCCAATATTTCTGCCCCGACACCATCCCACTGCACGGGCCCCTACTTTTCTGTGGCTGTTTGGGGAGCACAACGGTTTACGTGTAACTACCTACTGTCACATTGATTAAATGCTTCTTAGCCAACCAGAGTACTCCCGACACACATAAAGCAAATTCCCATCAAAACATTTTTAAATTAATAAATTACTTCTAGATACTGCAGCAGTGTCCTTCAGTTTTGCTGACAACTTTTTTCTTTTAAAATGTGTTCATGAAATAACACTGATTTTTTTTTTTAAAATGTGTTCATGAAATAACACTCTTAGATTTATACCGTAGAAAATAACGATGGAAAACTACCAAAGGATTACATGGTATCATACAGAAGAAAGCCTCCGAGCTTCAAGCGCTCTCGATGACCAGTCCTCCCCGAAGGGAGGAGACCGGTGCATCCCGTGATCCTGGTGTTGGTGGCTCCTTGGAGGAGCTGCCCAGTTCCCGGGCAGAAACGCTGCTCGTGACAGGGGCAGATGGAGCAGGGCAGAGCCGGGGGGTCCAGGCTGTGTCTTGGCCCTGCAGAGGCGAACGCGGCGCCTGGGGTAGCAGCAGCGCGTGGGGAGCGTGGCCAGCGGGGCGGCACGCGCGGGCCCGGGGGTCACACGGCCGACACTTGCTCGTCTGCTGCAAAACAAGAAGAGACTGAAGTCAATGACCCTGCTCCATCCCCCCTGAGCCCCACTCCTAGACCTGCTTCACTGCAGGGTTTCAGTGCCTCAACAACTGGCCACGACACACTGCGTGTGGTGGCCCTTTTAACAGATAACCCTCAGCCACCTGAGGTATTATCTAATATACATTAAAACAGATAAAATCCTCCACCTGCCAAACATTGCACAGCATGCACCTCCCGACACCCAACACCCCGTGGCTTGGGAGAAAAGCCAGCAAGGTGCTTTCTGACATGCAGTGATCTTTGCAAAGGAATTTCAGATAAAATTAACCACGCACTTTAAAAATAGCAGAGGTGTAACTAAAAGTATATGGTTAAATTTAGCTTTTAAAAAAATTTGGATTATAGTGTTTGAAGCAATTGCTTCTCTATTTTATTTCAGAAACATTTAATTACACAATTCAATTAGTGCTGGGCTATTTTAAAGTTTTACCTTGAATTGCAATACTAAAATATATGTTAAATACTGCTTAAGTATCATAAAGGCCGGGATAGGATCATTTTGCTTGAGAAACTGTTCTAAGTCACGTTCATTTTAAGACTGAAATCCAAGCAGACAATCACAACATTCTATCAAAAAATTAGTTCATTAGCAAGGGGTACAGAGAGATCACATCAGTGCACAAGTATTAAAAGCAAATCAGCAGATAAACAATTAAGTGGTAATTCTCCTAGCTTCATGTTAGTGTTGACACACAGGAAGAGTGGTCTTTTTTGGAAAAATCACTTGCATTTTGATCACATGAGATATTCTGCACTCGGCAGCATTGCCTGTTGCTCCAAACAAGGTCAAGAAGAATTTAACAGGAAGAGACACTGTCAGGCCAAGGCGGGCTGAGAAGTCAGATTTTATTAAGGGCATTTTTCACAAGAACAGACATTTATTTTGTTCAGTGCTTTTTAGATCCATGCTCCAAAAGTGGTTCCTCAGGAATACTGTAGCTTGATGCTAGCGCAGAAGAACAGGAACCAGAGCAAGCGTTGAACAAAATCCCACTGAATTAAAAAAATAAAATAGATCATTATCCCAACATCACCTTAAACAGCAGGACATAAATTAATGAAGCCAAAGAGATTGGAGGTTTTGGCATACAGCTTATGGCCTGAGAGTGTCCCGTAGGTTGTCCCCAGCACTCAAGGGGGGATTTCTGGAAATCCAGCCCATTTGTCCCAGCCCCACGTGCGGGGCCTCGTCCGTGTCCGTGGACTGCTGTTGGTGCTGGCATGCTCAAGGCGCTCTCCCTAGCACACGTGTGCACACACCAGTGTGCAGGCGTGCACATGGACACACAGCCACACGTGTGCACACATGAGCGTGCAGGTGTGTACATGGACACATAGCCACACGTGTGCACATGAGCGTGCAGGCGTGTGAATATGGACACAGTTACACGTGTGCACACATGAGTGCAGGCGTGCACATGGGCACACAGCTGCACATGTGCACACATGAGCGTGCGGGCGTGTACACACACAGCCACATGTGCACACACACGAGCGTGCAGGCGTGTGCACATGGACACAGTTACACGTGTGCACACACGAGCATGCAGGTGTGTACATGAACACACAGATGCACACGTGTGTGCACAGCAGCGTGCAGGCGTGTACACGGGCACACAGCTGCACGTGTGCACACATGAGCGTGCAGGCGTGTACACACAGCCACATGTGCACACACACGAGCGTGCAGGCGTGTGCACATGGACACAGTTACACGTGTGCATACACGAGCATGCAGGCGTGTACATGAACACAGATGCACACGTGCACACCAGCGTGCAGGCATGTACATGGACACACAGCTGCACGTGTGCACATGAGCGTGCAGGTGTGTACACGGGCACACAGCCACATGTGTACACACACCAGTGTGCAGGCGTGTACACGGACACACAGCCACATGTGTGCACACATGAGCGTGCAAGCATGTGCACATGGACAGTCACACGTGTGCACACACGAGCGTGCAAGCATGCTGGCCGGTTGCCGACTATGCCACGGAGGCATCTTCGAGGCCACCGCGTCACTACCGAGAGGAGCTGCTGCGAGTCTAGAGAGGTCCCCGTGCAGCATCCGGGACCGCTGCACGGCCACGCTATAGTCGGGAGGTTTGAGGTGCGGGTGGTGGGGCGATCCTTCCTTTATGTCCGCTAAGGAAATGCCCAGGTAGCCCGGAGGGGTGGGCGGTGGCTCCCTATACCTATCGTCCTTCTTAGGTGAGGTGACACAGTACACTGGCACCAGAAACAAGCCATGGAGATGTTAAAAGAAGAAAAACAAAGAAAAACAAAACGTTAAAAAATCATGAAATGTTACAATGGCAAAACAGAAACATAACAAAAACGCAAATGCAGAAACACCGGTTACAACGACAGCAGCAGATACTTTGGGTTTTCGTTTACGTTTTGGGCTTCTCTGAAGAAGTCAAGAGCAGCAAGAGAACCAGCCAACTCATTACGCAAAACGCCAGTCAAGCACACACAGAGCTAGAGATGCAACTCGCCATGGAAAGGGGCCACTTGCCCAAGGTGGCTTTGCCCAGCCCAGAGCAAGAGGGGCCTTGACTTGCATGTCAACAGCAGCCACTCACCAGCCAAAAGAGGGGTCTGCGGCTGAGCACAGTCATTATAACAAGATATCATATGTATTCTGTGATACATAATAGGATGTTAAACCATCCGCTCACCTGTGCTATAGGGAAGAAAAAATTACTATTGCATGAAACTGCATTGAGGAGGCCGACTGTGTACAGAGCCTGCAGCCAGAGCCTTGCGTTTTCCAATACCCAACAACAGCTCATGACAGCTGGGCTTTCCAATTCTTTAACCAGCATCCTGAAGTTTAAGTTCTCTATTCACAAGTGAGGAATAAGCATGAATAGTTATGGCAACACAGGCCTTGGAAAGGTTCCATTGCACCTTTTACAGACGTAAAAGAGATTATAATCCATACTATTAATTTGCAATGCCCAATCCACAAAATCTTCTACATTCCTTCCCCGTTCTCCTGCAGGTCAGGTCGCATGAGGTAGCAAAACTCAACTTTTTGTGCAAATCCCATCTTCCTCCCACTCATTCCCAATTTTAGGACTAATATGCATGTTAAATCAGGCTTTTCCCATGTACATGTTGCAACAGGGTAATTTCAATGCTGGGATAATTTTAAAACTCTGTTAGTTGAGCGAATTTACATTCATGTTGTGAATGCATTTAGAATACTTTACGTTCATTACACTTTTAACAACTGTGGTAATTTCTAATCTTATAAGAATATGAAAGAATGAAAATAAAGCAGCATTTTCTTATTTTGTGTTCTGGACCTGTGAGATGCTGGGTGATGGTCAAAGCAAGGAGAGTCAGTCTATACTTCATCCGAGACTTCTTGGGCTTATGGTAAAATAAGCAACAGCAAATTCATATAGTCTGGGCTATATGTGAATACATGCATAGATTTACACTGCTGATTTAAATAAATCGTTTTCAATTAAATTTAAATAGCACTCTAGAAAGTAAGAGGAAGCTTTGCTTTCCCCAAAGGGGTGGAGAAGGGCTGGTCCTCCCTCATCTTTGGTCCTTAGTGGTTTTGCAGCAATATTTGCAAGAGTGGATGCAGTTTTAAGGAAAACTGTTAGAGGTTTCCTAGAGCTGGTATCTAGGCTTCAGCACTAACAGGAGTAGGAAGAAGATCCACTATTACTAAGTTCTAATTCATATCATTTTATAAATATTATTAAAGTATTTTATCAGTACATCCTCATCCACAGCACTATATCTCTGTAATTTCTGTCATCCATCACATTCTCAAGAGGTTACAAAAAGCTTCATGAGGAACTGAACCTCGTTCTGTTGAACCAGACCCTTTTCTGTGAGAATCCTTTAGCCCCTCCTGACCCCACCGAGTGGCTATCTACTCTTTAAAAACCACATCTGATTCCCGTCTTGAAGGAAAACTGGTTCTCCAATATTCTCCTGCTCCCTATCTACTGACAATCAGAAATAAAACTGCCCTCTCCCTCTGCTCAATGTTGTCCCTGGTCAAAAGCAGCATTAAGGTACAACAGACAGCAACATAAGTCTATTGTAGGTAACAGCTATGAAAAAGCTTTCTCACTTTAATGTCCTGTAGCAACCTGTTAAAATTGCACCCTGTTCTTGGAAAGCAGAGGTTGCACTGAGAAACACTGCATGCTGCAGAATGCAGAAATGCCCAAGAAATAATAAATTCTCCACATATATTGATTCTGCCAAGGCCACGCTCTCCCTTTAGCACATGGATAGTGGTTTTCCAGCTCTGTTCCAAAGGTTCCAGGCAGTAAAACTTGGGTCAGTTCTTTTGGGGGACTATTCCACATCAGCACTCATTAAGCAAATGAGCTGCAGAGTCTCATTTTGCTTACAGTGTTATGAATTCATGCGGTTATTACAGACTGTGGTAGCAAGTTGTTCCTAGAGGATAAGCAAATGGCAAAATAAAGCTAGGTTATCTTTGGCATTCTGTAGATGTCTAACTAACAGATTTGCATTTGCAAAGCGAAATCATATCCACCTATAACAGATCTGTGTTTAGATGGGATATATATGGTCTCTGCTGAAACAGGGCACTGAAAATTTCTTACCGATGTGCTATGACCACATCAGGAAGAAAAGTTATATGGTGAAGTATGAAAACAAACTAAAGCTAAGGGAAAAAGCTGTGAGAGAAGACAGAACATATGGAATAGTTAATGCCATATCCTAAAATGGCTCAAGGGCTTATAAGCCATTTTAGAAAGGATACCAGGGCAAAAACAAGCTCAAGAAGGAGCTGGGAGCCAGCTTCCTGCCAGAGCCCCCTGCGCTCCTGCTCTGCTATATGGCCAAGGAGGAGGAATGGCATCTGAAGACATCCACCCTATGAGTGATGTTTATTCAGGCATTACCTTTGATAATATAACCCCCCTGTAGCAAACTGCTCAGTAATTACATAGCATTGCAGCTGCACCCTTGCCTTAAAGTTTAGAGAGTTTTGCACGCCGTGTTTGGTCTTGTTCACAATCTGGTTCCTTCTGTTTGGGCAGACTGGCAGCTGAACTCCCTAGGACAGTGGAAGTGCGTGTTGCTCAGTAAAACTGTGTCTTTGAAAAGGCATTTTAACAATTTCTCTCTTTCATATGTAGCCAAACTGCAGTAGTCTAACTACATGGTAGTAGAAATATAGGAAAGATGGGAAGGGAATCTGCTCCATCCCTGAGCTTCTATGAAACGTGCCGCAGCACCGGAGAGGTGGGAATTCTCTGCACCACTCCGTAATCCCGTTCTTCCCTTTGCAGTTCACACAAGGTCTGTGTTACATGGACGTGCAAAGGAATGATGCTTGTTGCTCCTTGCCAGAGGAAAGTCTGCAGTGAGGAGGGCTTCCAAAAAATCCAAAAGCCCAGAAAGTCGTATTGCAGAGAAGAGCTTCCTGACATTTCCAGAACACAGTTTTCCTGCACGCCTGTGAAGTGACTGGGGACTGTACTGCTCTTTTCATTTTCCTAATCCAAAAGAAGGTAGTTTAAACACCACAGTGTCTGAGGACTGTTCTGATTAAAACCACATGATAAAGCTGAATTTAACATGCAATCCATTCCCCCGATCTGCTGATGTCATTTCTAAACAGCTTAATACCAAAACACAAACCAGATGTGGGAGCTTTCACAAGCTGTTGGCTTGGCTTACCTATCAGGCCTTTTTCTGTACTTGAAGTAACAGTTTTGTAAGTTGTGTCGGTGCCTGGTTTAGAGTCCAAAACCTCCGTCTGCTCCGCCGCCGACGTCTCCAGCCCCCTCCGCTTAATCGTCCCATAGTTTGTCTCATACGTGTCCGAGAGGGAGCTCGAGGAGGCCCAGCTCTGCCGAGACTGATCCCCTTCCAGGTTGGCTTTCGACTGCCTGTTATTTTTGGAAAAGGGTTCGGAATATAAATAAGCCTCCTCAGAGTAACAATTTGTGGGATCGACTTCAGCTATAGGTCCATCCAGCTGGGTGTGACGGTAGGAATTGAGGAGGTCCCAGCTCTTCTGGTTGGGGATGTTCTGGAAGTTGTCGTGGGAGCTGCTCGAACACGACGTCCAGCTCCCCCGGCCGCTGTCCGCTGCCTCCACCAGGATGTGCTCGTGGGAGATCTCCTCGCTGCTCATGGACGACGTGAACGCCATCCCTCTGATGAGGGCAGGCCTGCTCAGCGACCAGCTAGGGGAAAACAGAGATCAGAAAAAAATCTTGCTGGATATTGAAGGAGCAGAGATGTTCTTGGAGCCAGCTATCTGCATTAGCAACGAGCAGCCACTGGGTGTCAAACACGGCCACAGCAAGGCCGAACACAGGAGCTCTGATAAGAAGCCCTGTTATCATTCTCCTCTGCAGCAGGGCCTGTCCCCAAAGGGACCAAGTCTGCAGCCAGCTCCAAGGGACCTGATTGCAGAGACAAAACGCTGCTCCTTAGGGCTCCAACACTAGGCACGGCCAGACGGTGCCCCAGGGAAAGCTCGAGGCCCGGCTGCAGTCACAGGCTCCAGAATACCACTAAGCTTGTTCTTGTCATTTACAAAACCAGCAATATAAATATTTGCATCCAGAATAAAAGCATTTTTGGTTGCAGCTACAAAAACTTGTTCAGGCAGAGAGAGGTAGGGTTATATTTCAATGATATTTGGAAATACTGCACATAAGTAACAGTTGTGGAAAGACCTCAAGCAGAAGAAATTCTGAAATCCTAAGGACAAATTTTATTTTATTTTATTTATTTAAGAAGTATCTTCTGAAACCTATTAACCACTATTAATATATAATCAGGAAAATAATAAAGTCAGGTTTAAATTGATTTAGAATATAAAAATATGATTGCTAGACATTATTCTGAAGGCTCTTTCTGGTTGTATTAAAAGGCATGCAAAGTGCATGCATTAAAATTCAATGCCACTGCTCCTCAGCTTACTGAGGCATTATGAGATCTAGGAACATTTCTTAGATATGGGCAAATAACTTTTATTATTCCCTTGCTTTTCTATTTTATGAATTCTAGCACAGAAACTCTTTTGTAGCCACCAAAAATCACTGAAACTAGGGCATAATAAACTAGCCACTAGCTTGAAACAATCTGCTTCTAATTTAGAAAAAAATACTGAGTTCAGAAGGCAGCGAGGTCCTTTCTGTGATTCAGTTCATTACCACGGCTGCCTTCCTGTGGGTCAAATCTGACCACGTAGTAAAACAAACCCAAGAGCTGCATCTCGGCACCAGTTCTGATGGTACTGAGATGACAGCACCATTGTACAGACACTCTCAGCAAGCAGAAGGCAGCCCGTTTCCAGTATGCCTTAGCAAGGATTAAAGAAAATAAATTAATAATAAAAGAAATCCCACTGAGGTATTTTAAGTGACCAGTATCACTGATCCTCAGAGATAATTGGGAGCATCCTGCTCTGTGCTGCCGCTCTCAGCACCACCAGCAAGTCACTTGTTAAATATTATCCTAGCTTTTAACACATTTGCAATCCCCTGCGTGGCCAACTGAACTCCCACTGATGGGAACAAGCTCTTTTCCATCTAAAAGGCACCACAAGTTTCTTGGGAAAATATGCTCTTCCCATCTACCTCAGAGCAACCAGCTTCCCATGTCTGTCAGTGCTTTAACAACCACAGCGCAGTTTGCCGCCGCATCCTGATTCAACGTGTCAGGATGTTCCTATTTCTATCCCTTTTCATTCAGGATGTTCTTGGTTTTGTTCCTACGCTCATTCCCGTTAAACTCGGCGTTTCGCGGAGGCCGAGCGCAACGGCGCTTACCCGGGGCAGGGCTGCGCGTAGTCGGCGAGCCCCCCTTCCGCCCGGCCCCCGCGGAATCGACCACGAGGAGGGACTGGGACAGGCCCCGCTCGTCCTGCAGCGCCGCCGACATGGAGTCCACCGAGCAGTTGCTCACGATGCTGGAGCGCGAGGAGATCTCGCTGTGACTCGAATCCGAGAAGTTATCGGATTTCATGGAAGGGATGAGGGCATAGCCTGAGGGAGAGAGAGCCGCTGTTAGTCTAATTTCTTAGCATAAGAAATGTTATGTTACTGGCTGTGACGATGAAGTGCTGATGCACCTCTTCCAGCGAGGATGTTTTAAAACCAAAATGACAAAAACAAAACCCTGCTGTTCTTGAATAGATCAGTCCGCCCAAATTTTGATGGTACTGAAGTTTTTAGCATCAATCAGCACCTAGTATTGATTTATTAAGGCTAGCAGGTG